TGCCATTTATGATCATCTTCTTTACCGACAAAATTCCCAAAATCCCTTAAATCCTTTTCTCGTTATAAAATCAACTGAAGTCGAATTTCTTTTACACAACATCCACAATGAACCTCTAGGAGAATACTTAGGACGAGACATAACCTTCAATAAATTGGTATATAAATATTATTGGCCAAAGATGTATGACACAGTAAAGGAATGGATGAAAATATGTGACATATGTCAACGACAAGGGACGCCTAGACGGCAAGAGCCTCTACACCCAATTTCAGTTGGATAACCTTTTGATCGAATTGGGATTGATTACGTAGGACTATTACCATAAACTAAGTAAGGTAACAGATACATCATTGTTGCCACCGAGTATCTCACTAAATGGGCTAAAGCTGTTGCTATACCTGATTATACTGCACAAACAAAAGCACAGTTTATTTTTCAAGAAATTGTGTGTAGACATGGGACTCCAAAGGAAATCTTAACTGATAGAGCTACGTCATTTCAAAACGAACTAATAGCTGCATTACTACATATTATTGGAACAAAACATCAGCTCTCTTCACCATACTATTCCCAAATAAATGGATTAACTGAACATTTTAATCAGACTCTGTGTACTATCTTAGCCAAATATGCTGAGTAACATCAAGGAGAATGGGATGTTTATCTTTCATCAGCCTTATTCGCATATCGCATAGCACAACAAGGTACAACCAAGCACGAACCCTTCGAGTTACTGTATGAACGACATGCTATACTACCTATAGATCTTTGGGTATCACGACCTATTACTACACAAAAGCTGTCACAAATAATAGAACAATACCATCGTCTTTTAACAACACAATTACAACAACGTCGACACGATACATAACAGAATATTTTGCAATAACAGCAAAAATAAAAGGAACGTTACGACCAAAAATATAAGGGCATAGATTATCAAATCGGGGATAAAGTACTTTTATTTAATGTTCTATGATCATACGTACATAGAAACAAATTCAAGGATAAGTTTGATGGACCATTCTACATTCATAATATTGTATGACCTGATACATATAAACTGCGAACATTGGATGGACGAATTCAGAAAAATCTAACACATGCTGATCAACTTAAACCTTATCTTGAAAGAGCCAATTGGGAACCTCAGATTATTATTTCAGATCAGTAAAATTAATATTATAAATATAAGACTTAAACAACCTTAGTCTATAGGAAAAATGACAAATACCGCTATTAATGATCACATTTTACAAGAATTGCAAAGAGCTCTAATCCAAAACTTACCTTTTAAACTACTAAAGCCCTATACTGAGGATATGCATTATACTGAGAAAGTTAAACGCACTTATTAAGCTCTTCTATGAGCACGACGTATGAAAAACTGTGTCTGGATTTTAATAAACGCTTTTTCTTAGGTGAACTACTAAATGATGATGATATTACACCTGTACAAAGGACTCTTCAAAGTCAAATAATTACCCCACATTACTATCAATGTTCAACTCGTATTTATTTTCTTTTTGAAAATTTAGGAAGTCAACAAATCCTGAATACTCGTTTCTAATATTGACCTGGATTAGACGACTTAAAACTAAGGAATATCAGGATCTTCTTAACTATACTCTCGAAATTTCTGTTAGAACAGAAATCTTAAAGAGGGAGTAATGTGATCGGGTGTCGATCTTGACGATCATAGATCAACAATTGTGTGGTGAAGTACAAATATCGATAATGTCAAATATATTTAACATGTTTAACATGTTTAATATAGCTAATATGTCTAACATATCAGATATGTCTAACATAGTTAATATAGTTAATATAGTTAATATAGTTGATATAGTTAACATAGTTAATATATTAGATATGTCAAAATATGTAATAGAATAGATATAAATACAACCTCTTTTGTTCATTAGAAAGATAGAACTGACGGCTGTATTGAACCTCTCTCTTATAAAAAATAGCGCAACGCTACTCTTCACCTTGTGTACCTCTGTTTCTTATTTCTTTTTCTTATTTCTCTCATATATCATTATATTATTATTTTCTTTTCATTTCAATAAAGTACTTCTTATTTCTTACTTTGTATCTGAAACTCTTCTTCAATTAACTGTGAAAACTCGTAACCCATGATTGAAGTCACTCACGTCTAATAAACCTAATTTAAACCTGTAAACTAGTAGTGAATTAGCTAAGATTATCGTAAACTGACTAAAATTATTATGTGAACTATAAAAGAGTCAATCCACTGACACCGCGTCTAACAGTTGCGACCTAAAAGTTTACACGCTAACAGTATAGGAAAATGTTAAACTTTTTCTTAAAACTTTACCTTTTTCTAGGTATACTAAGAACATTAGAGACAAACATAAAAGAACATAATCAGTAAACTTAAAACTTTCAAAATTGATATCTCTAAGAAATATTCTTAAAAAAATTTCTCTAGAAATACTAGGAACAGCATAATGTGAAAAAATCATCTTAATTTATATCTTAATATGCCTTAAAATGTGATAAAATATAATATAAATTTATTCTAATAATTCAAATCTTGGGACATGAAATCAATATATATATACCAGCGCAATAGTTAAACCAAAAAATGATATACTTTTTAGTAATCAAATGAATTAGCCAAATTTAGAATTCCTAAAACTAGCTCGTAACTAGCTCACAACAAGTCTGCAACTAACCTGATACTCAAATTTTTAGTGCAATAGATTTTTGTTCAATTTTGATGATATAATATTTCATAAATTCAGTTACAACTTAACTTTTACTAGAAATACGAAATCGGCATATATAAATCAACAACAAATAAGATTACAAAATTAGCGCATTTCTGGCAATTAAATGAGCTGGTTAAAACTAACTGAATTTGTTATATTATATAGCAGAGAGTATTCTAGCTTCAGAATACTATCACGTGACTATAACACAGTAAGATGCAGTCAAAATTTACTCCATAATTTCAGTCAAATCTTTGAATATAAGAAGTTAGCATCTAAGCTGGCAAACTACCAGTTCTATGACAGTTTTATGACAGTTTCGAGATAGCTATCAGGTTACTACCATAGCGTTGAGTTGGAATTTCAAATCATGTGTTCAAAAGATCAGCCAAAATTATGCCATAGAACTGGCCAAAATTAATTGCAGATTTATATTGAATTACTGTACTATCTGACGTAATATTTTTTTTTACCATATTTCAACATTTTGGCAGATAACAAAATAGGTAAAAAAGGAAAGCATCCTTAATACCTTAACAGGTAATCAAAAAGATCCAGAAGCAGATAAACAAAATGATAACTCTTTATTAATAAAAAAGGTATAGAAGCATGTAAACAGAAAAAAATATTTCCTTAATATTGAAAAGACTAAAAACAAAGAATTAAGGCATAACTATTAGATTATAAAGTTTTCATTAGATTAAAGAGTATAATCACTATTAGATTATGAAGTTAATACCAATTCATAAAAAGTATAGTAGAAATTAAATAAAATAATAACTAGAGAACCGTAAAGATAACTAAAGAATAGATTATAAAGTTACCATTAAACTCTGAAGCCATCATCAGATTATATAATTAGGTTATGAAGTTATCATTAGATTATGAATTTAGATTATGAAGTACCAGCAGATTATAAAGTTACCTTTATATGAAGTCACTATTATATTATGAAGTTACCAATAGACTATGAAATTACTATTATATTATGAAGTTACCAATAGACTATGAAGTTACTTTCATAATCTAATCTAAGTCACATGTGACTTCATAATATAATTATATTATAAAGTCACATGCGACTATATCTCTTTTTATATAAATATTCTTTATAACTTAAATTATTAAAAAATATAAACTTTAATATAGATTTATTTTATATTAAAAATAAAATTATTTGTTTATTTTAGTTAAAAGTATCAAATCTTAAATTTATATATTTAAGTATTTTATTAAAATTCTGTAATTTAATTTTAACTATAAATAACCAAATTAACTTTATTTTTTTTAGGAAATATGGAAGAATATCAATAAAAAGGGGGAAATCTAAATTGACCAAAATTTAGATCCCACCTTTTATACCATATGTTTGATTTAGTAATAGCCTATTTTAATTTTTTTTTTTTCTTAGGTCTCATATTACTAAATTAAAAATTTAATTATATTTAGTAAATTAATATTATATCATTATATTTGTCAAATTTGATAAGATTGAATTTTTATTTATATTAAATAAACATCAGGTGGACTTTTTCACGGTAATAAATCCGAAATTAAAAATACAATAACATAAGCCAATAAAATATGAACAGCAATATTTCACTTGGCTACGGAATAAAATTCATATTACAACATTGTTATCTTAATAAAGAAATCAATTTAATAAAGGAAATCAAACTAAGCCTACACGGGTAAAGGTGTGATGGCTTCTTCAGCTGTGTTCGGGAAGGGTAAACACTCTTGGATCCGGGCGCATTTTTACATTTTGGTAGTTTAAAATTAACCATACCATATAAATATAAATAACGATAAAATAATTTTTTTTTTGAAACGTAACACGTTTTGAAGTGACTTTAGGTAACTTGGTTTAGCCATATTTGGCAATTAAAGTAATGTTGTACATAAATAAAAATAAATTAATTGGGAATATTAAAAAAATATATTTTTTCCTTGTTTATGATTTGTTTTAAATATTGCATCGTCTTGAATTACAATACTTTTCATATAAATAATATATAATGATGAGAAAAGTTACACGACTTTCGTACGTTGGATTGTTCGTTAGAATTCGGAAAATTGAGAGTTTAAGCTTTTTGCAATATGAAAAAAAAAACACCACACTTTATTATCACCAATTTTAATATTATTACTTCGTTTTCTTTTCTTTTTTTTTAATAAAAAATTTTTCTATTTTACATTCTTTATAATTTTGGGGTAGAAGAAAAATCTATAACGACTACTTAATTTTAATATATTTAAATGGCATTTAAATATAAACCGTCGCTTGTGCGGTTAACACTGATATTAAGTTCGTTTGTTCTTGACGTTATATGCTTTACACCTCTACCCCGGTTTGCACAAAATTCAGCACACATTGGCAATAGAATTTATTATATGGGAGGATTCGTTTCTCTACCAGAACCCATAATATCAGATTTCTTTTATTTGGATATATCTACATTTACTTCAACAGATTCGGGAAATTTACCATGGACGGAACTTACAGGTCTAGACAATTTGTTTACAAGTTGGGGAACAGCGGTGGCCGGAGGTGCAAATAAAGATTTATTTGTTCTTTTCGGTGGGCAAATGACTCCCTCTGAAACCAGTAGTATCGTAATTGTATATGATACTAAAAGTAATACATGGTCCAAACCTGAAATTTCAACTGTTAATGGTGATGAACCTTTAAGAAGACAACAAACTCAAGCTGTTATTGATAATGCAGGTAAAATGTATATTTTTGGTGGATCAACGGGACAAGAAACAAATTTATTTTTTTTAAATGATATGGCAATTTTGGATACTGTTAATTGGGCCTGGAGTTATGGAACTCAAGATGGTGCTCCTGAAGCAAGAAATGATTTTTCTGCTACGATCTTAAGTAATGGTTATATTGTTTACATCGGTGGAAGTAATTTAAATAATCGCTATGTTCCTATGACTCAGGTTATTGCATTTAAATTTAAGAAATTTTTGAACTATTTTTGCGAAGATGACTCTCGATTCATATATATATATATATATATATTTTTATTATTTTTAATTTTTTAATTGCAGTTGAACATGTATGATACCAACTCTGCTGCTTGGATTAACATTGTAAGAGACGTGAATTTAATATATCATCATAGGTAGAATTTGATTCTAAATGCATAAATTTTCTATAGGAAGCTACAGGTGACACTCCAAATCCGCGCGGTGGCCATTCCGCTGTATTGAGTATGTATTTTGTTTAAAAAAAAAAAAAAAATTATTTTTAATTTTTTTTTGGGAAGGTTAACATTAAGAAATTCTTTTTTTTCAGCAACGGATGGACGCATTATTATTTACGGTGGATCATTTTTGATTTCAGCAGATGGTAGATATACTGCGGCAAGTCCTGATTTGGCAGTTTTAGAAACCAGTAACAATAATTATGTGTGGAGTAAACCTAAAGCAAGCGGAATTTCTCCTCCTACAATTGCTTATCACGCTGCGTATTTGGTTGGAGATAACATGATTATTTCTTTTGGTAAGCATATTAATCATATTTACGTTTAAATACATAGATAGATAATTTTAATTTTTAATTTTCATATAGGGAATATCACAGATAAAGGACCAACATCTAATCTATATGCTTTAGGAACAAAAGATAAAAACAATTATAAATGGTTAACATCATTGGACATTGAAGCATCAGTGCCACCTGGAACCATTAGTCCAGTAAATAATACATCATCAAATACGGGAGCACTTGTTGGGGCAATAATTGGTAGTCTCATTGGATTACTACTATTAGGGGGAGGATTATTTTGGTTTTATAGGTTTAACAAAAATAGAAAAATGATGGAAGGAGTAATAGAAACTCCAGGAGAATCTACAGATGTTGGATTTTCCAGAAGACATGAAACAATGAATAGTACTACAACATCACAATCTTCTTATGATTATAGTAGAAATTCAACAAATACTAAAGTAGAAGAAGGTGATCATTCAAAGGAATTTCCTCCTAGTAACTTATCTATTCAATATAATCTTGATATTGACGATGACGATGATGATAAAGAATTTAGAGTTCTGCCTGAAGAACTACAACCTGAATATTTAGAAAAGAAATACAATGTATAATTTATTTAATTTATTAATATTTGTATTTAGGTTATCAGAATAGGCGAGAACAATAAGAAGAGTAAAGGATTATTCTTCAATTATGAGATAATTATACTAAAAGGAAAGGTCACATTAATTAAAATGGTTCTTTTTATTTATTTATTTTTTAAATTATTTTTTTTTGGTATCATAAAAATTTTAAATAGATTAGACTTTCGTTATATTTACAGTTATTAAAATAAAACAAAACAACAAAAAACAAAAAAAAAAACATAATGCTCTTTCTTCTTAGATAGATGAGAAATTGCATTATATTATACATATATGTATATCTATTTCAAGATGTAAATTTGTTTAATTGTTATATTAATTAAAAGAATATACGCACAAGCAAAAAAATAAATAAATAAATAAATCCCTTACATATCTATTTAAATACATACGGATATATTTATATATATATAAAATTTTTATATAAATAATCTAAAATTTCTTAGAACAAAAACAAAAATGTTTTAAATATGCTTCACTTTCTTGGTCTTGTTTTTCATTTTTAATATTTTTATAAATCTTACTTCTACAAATTCCTTCCCATTCTCCTTTATAAGAAGTTATTTGAGTTACAGTAAGACCATTTGTATTTTTATTTACAATATTAATAAATGTTGAAGAAAATTTAAGTTTCGCTGGATAAGATTTTACATTCACCGTAACAGCATAAATTCTTGAATTTTGTGACGTTGAAGGTAGATAATATCCAGAGTAATATTCTAAGTCTCCATATGTAAAATTTGCTTCAACCGATCTATTTATAGCTTTGGATATATCATAATCGAATTTATTACATATCTTTTCAACTCCAAATTCTTGTATTTTATCATTCATAAAGGAAACGGCGAATTCAATCAAACGGTTAATAATATTTTCATCCTTCTCTTTTGTATTTTCTAATTCGGTATATTTAATACAGGGACAATACTCTGTTGGAATTCCAAGTTTAGAACATGTCCTATGTTCATCTAATGGATAAAATAGCACATCTCCATAAGTCTGAGCTTGAGTTAAAGTGTAATCGTCAAAGAAATTTTCGGCTTGTTTTAATGATCGTGCAACATCAACTTGATTAAAATCATTTGAACTTTTACCAAAAGCCACGTAAAGCAAAGTCATGTGAAGGTCTGCATGTGTCGTTAAAAGATTTTGATTTGCTTCCATGTTTTCATTATAAACCGTTGAAATATCTTTTGGAAGAACCATGTGTAATAATGGTTGTTTATGATGTAAATATCCTTCGTATGATGCGTACTCAAATCCATAATGAATGCCATGATCAGATAACACAATAACTATACTAATAAAAATAAAAATAAAAAAAAAAGATGAAAAATTATATAAAGGAAAAAAGATCAAAATCAAAAATTTTAAAGCTTACCTATTTTCATCCAATAATGGTGGTTGATTTCCTTTACCAATTAATAATTTTGTTAACAAATTTACCATGGATTTATCCAGACCAATTAAATTAAGATCAGCATTATGTGTATCCATTAAAGTTATAGTGGCCAACCTTTTATGGCGTTCCCCACTATCGTTAGTATCATTATAAACATTTAAAAATTGTCCCAGATAATCAAATTGCACATCATAACATACTCTTCTGCAAATTTTAAAAGTCCATTTTTCTTTTGATCCCAACTTTCAAATTTTTTTCCACTGCTCATACTTGGAAAATGATATTGATACGCCGAATCGCACTCTACATCAATCTCTTGTTCTCCGTTAGAAGGATCGTGTATGATTTTTGCAATTGTCCTTCCCGGTATGACCTCGATTGGATATTGATCTTGCGTAATGGGTTTCCATGGTGGTAATATACATGTTCCGTCACCATCAATCATTCTTTCCATAAATCTAAAAGAAGTTTTTAATACTATTAAAGCAATAGATATTATAAATAAATTTATTAAAATTATTGAAATGCATAATTTTTTTGGACTTTTTGTGAATGCTCTTGTGAATTCTGATTTTGATATAGAATTATTTGATGTCACGGGACTATATTTCCATGAAGTACCGCGAAACCATAGTTGAAAATTATTGATAAAACGTGAGGTTTTATCCATGTCAAAAAAAAAAAAAAAAAAAATAATAAAAAAAAAATTAAAAATTAAAAATATGACGGATTAAATATTTTCGGGAACCAACATCAAGATTTATATGAGGCTGCAACATTTGTATCACTAAAGCAACGTTGCACAATGTAATTTTTAATAAAGTTCCGATCCTTAGATACTAAAAATGTATATTTTATAAATTCCTTTTATAAAATATGCCTCCAAAATCCAAAAATAAAATAAAGAAATCGGAACATTCATCTTCAAAGAAATGTAAACAAGATTCTTGCCAACAGGATCAAATTAAAACATCATCCAATACCACTACTTTAAAACAACCTTTAAACTGGCCATTAATATCCATAAAATCTAATTTACAACTCGAGACAATTTATCAAAATCATATAGTAATAATACCATCATTTTTTACATCAAAAGAATGTACCAATTTTATAAATTATATTAATAGTACCATACCATTAGAATCGGCAAATCCTTCATTAATACCAAAAAAAGGTGAAGCGTATAGGGATAATGATAGGTTTTCAATAGAAGATATCAAATTCTCGGAAGTTTTATATAATTCAGGATTAAATTTATTGGTATCAAATTGGCATTCCACTTTAACTAAAAAACCTGTTGTAGGATTAAATCCAAATATTAGAATTTACAAGTATAATATAGGACAAAAATTTGGTCAACATTATGATGATTCTGTACAAGATTGTTTAAAAAGGTTAAGCGAGTGGACTTTGTTAATTTATTTAAATGGAGGTGATAATGAGAATGAAATACCTTTATATGGAGGAGAGACCGTCTTTTATAAGAAAAAAGGAGAAATTGTAATAAAACCTGAAAGAGGAATGGCTTTATTACATAAACATGGACATGATTGTTTATTACACGTAAGTGATTTTTTTTACACGAAAAAACGACCTTTTATAAATAATAAACACTTCATTTAAAACTTTTTTTCATCCCTATAGGAAGCAAAAGTGATCAAAAAAGGTTTTAAATATGTGTTGAGGAGTGATTTAATGTTTGCTTAAATAAAAATTATTATGATTTTGATTTGATTTCAATACTATTGAAAACTGTTTGAATCGGTTTTTTTTTATATTTACTAAATTAAATAGTAGTAGAATTACCTGTACAAATGCTTCAAGAGAATTCGTCAAAAAAAAATTATTGACAATATAATACTCAGTTATCTAAAACAGATTGACATGTCAATGTGCCTAATTCAATAATATTACAATTCATTTATTACGTATTAAAATCAAAATATATTCCAAAATTGGTAAAATACAAAATTTAAAAATTATATAGCAAGAGAACCCATAGGATCCCAAGCAGGTAACACTTGGGGCTCTTGATCCAATACTTCAACTAATTCTTTAGGTGTATCTTTCTTTTCCAAGACAATTTGATAAACCCAATCAGTAAACCAATCATCAGTCATAACGAAATAACCTTTGTCACCGATAGCATCTCCCCAAGAATTTTCAACTCTCCAACGAACAGGTATATCATTCTCAATATGAACACCTTTTATACAAATTATAGAATTTATGATGTTTTACAAAGGTAAATCGCGTGTAATAATAATAATAATAAAAGATTAATAATAATTTATCTTTCGCTTACCAGTTAAAACCATAGCATGAGTCATTAAGCTTTGTCCATATTGTAACCTTTGTGCTTTAGTTAATTCAAATTTAACATTAAAACCTAACTCATAATCAATAACTTTATTATCCAAAATTCCTAAGGGCGAATAGCTTCCTTTTCCGACATCAGAACCAAACCATACTGGTTTCCCTGAACGTAACACTTTAATTGAAAGTTGTTTCATCATTTCAATTGAAATATTCACATAACGAATTGGAAAACCTCCTTGAATGTTGCCAAGGTATTTAACAGTATAAAGACGGTTATAAGGATTACGTGGATCATTTATAAGCGACAATGTTTCAGTTGCCTGCATTGAAATTGTTATTAAAGTCATCATTTAAAAATTCTGATTATATTCCTTAAAACTTTTACCTTGTAACCAATAATATCTTGATAAAAACTCTTTGGAGTTAAATTTGGGTAATTATGATATTTGCCATTTTTATCTCTAAAGGTCCAATCAAATTTTTTAGGCGGTTCGCCAATTGAAATAGCAATAATCCTGTAGATTTCTTCCATCATACCAATCTTTACACATCTCAGGGTATTATGATCCTTTCCAGCATTGTGCAATTCACGTAAATGATATGCAAAATCACGCAATTTAGTTGTCACCAACCAATTAAGCTTTGATGAATTCGAAGAATTATAACTTTCGGGAAAAGCCTAAAAACAAAATTTTATTAGTCTTAATTCTTGGGTTTCTCAACAATTTGTTCCATAACTTACAGATTTTGGCACAACACCATATTTCTCCAAAATGTTAATGACCTATTTATTATAAATTTAATTATAAATTTAATACAAATATAAAATTTAAATTATAGATAAGAGAGGAAAATTCACAAACTATGTGACATACCATATCCCATTGACCTCCATCGTTGACTGGTGCTTGAATTAAATATTGAATTATACGAGAATCAATATCTTCGTCGGCCAATTCAATAATATTTTCAAGGAACCCTACCAAAAGCAAAATGAATTAGAAAATTTCAGGTTGATAAGATTTGAAAAAAAAGGTATGACGCGAAAATTTGGTATTTTTTTAAAAAAGTTGAATCACTTTTTATCAATTATTCTTTAAACGTATATTATTTGCATAGCTAGTGGTATATGACGTATCAATCCTTACAATTCGCCTTTTCCAATTTGTCGTAAAAGAATAAAAAAGGTTGGGACAATTCAAATTCTTCCAACTTATATCTAAAATAAAATCAAATAAAATTGTATTTTCGAATAAATAAAAAAAATAATGCAGAAACATTGCTAAAATGCAGCTTACTTTTTCATGATAATCAAACGCATAACATTGGTTGCAGCAAATAACCAGCAACGTCCAGAAGATTTTTGATTAGTAGATTTGCCTTCCAATTCAATTTTCTCAGAAAATACATGAATGTCATTTATGGTGATCTAAAATGAGTAATCATGTGATCAATGAATGACAAAAACAACTTTTTCTTTTGCAATAACCAATTTACCTCTCGATTCAACAAAACTTTGCTAAAGTCATTACCAGAAATAGCATTTAAAGCTAATAAATTCTTTGCATCACTATTAAGTTTATCGCTGAAAAAAATAATAAAATTACAACAATTAATATATGGGAACGTTGCCAGTAAAATCAAGTCATGAAATATAGGAAATCATATGATCCGTAATGTGATTTTACTGGCAACGCTCCCATATGATTCTTGACTGATAACGATATTAGGTCAATTAATATTACATACGAAAACTCGTCAAGAAGTTCTTCTTTCAATCCTGCGTTTGTATGTTTAACATATTGTTCATAATAATATTCATCATTTAAATATTTTACTGTGTTCTTTTTCTCATTATATTTGCCAGAATCCTTAAAGCTTTTATTTTTAAGGGTAAGTCTTTTATTTGAGCTAATAGAACGTGAATTTTGTTGACCCATATTTTTTTCGTAAAAAAAAAGCTGAGCAAGCTTTTTGAGTTTGGAATTTGATAAACACACATCGTGACTCTTATCTTTAGATAGGACCCCTGAATATGGTTAGCTTGGGAGAATTATTCCAAACAGTTGGGAGGCGGTCAGTAGAAAAGGGGGAAATCCGCTTTTTAGTTTATTGGTTTACTCTGCCGATCATGGTCATGTGAACAAAACTAGCTTAATAACTAAAATTTGTAATTTCCCATTAAGAAATAATTTCTTTAAAAGTCACATGACATAATGTGATATACACGGAGAATCTTAACCTGCACCATTATAAATAATAGAAATTTATATACATTTAATTTATTTATATAATTTTATTAAAATTTTAATTACAAATAAATGTAAATTTATTTTTGAAAAAAGATAAAAGATTATAAAAATATTAGTTACAGTAAAATATCAGAAATGTAATTTTATTACTTTTTCTTAAGTTTATATAAATCAGATCTTTTTCATTATTATAATATATTTAATTTTTATACTTTTATTAATATTAGATTTTTAACTTACGACTATACATATTATATATTTTTATATTAATAATAAATTCAAATACTTATATTATTTTATTGTTCAAAGCTTTAGCTGAAGGACATATACAGTTAGATCTGTTTTTATATATGCATATGTATGTAATGTCTGTCTGTACGAGTGATCTACCAATAATATGTATTGTTGTGATATCACATTTTACACCTTTTTTATTTTATTATTCGTATGACGAAATCCTTTTTTTACAGTACTATCATCTCAATTCTGTATCACGTTATTTATTTATCATATTCTTTTTGTCATTACATATATTAAATTTAAAAAATAAATACTGTTTCAAGCTAAATAAAATAAAGTTGTTATTTGTATTGTGACCGGATATCGATCTTGACGATCATAGATCTACAATTGTGTGACGAAGTACAAATGTTAATAATGTCAAATATATTTAACATATTTAACATGTTTAATATAACTAATATGTCTAACATATCAGATATGTCTAACATAGTTAATATAGTTAATATAGTTAATATATTAGATATATCAAAATATGTAATAGAATAGATATAAATACAACCTCTTTTATTCACTAGAAAGATAAGACCGATGGCTATATAGAACCTCTCTCTTGTAAAAGATAGCGCAATGCTACTCTTCACTTCGTGTATCTTTATTTCTTATTTTTCTTTTCTTATTTCTCTCGTATATTATTATCCTATTATTTTCTTTTATCTCAATAAAGTATTTCTTATTTCTTATTTCGTATCTGAAACTCTTCTTAAATTTACTGTGAAAACTTTTAACTCGTGATTAAAGTCGCTTATGTCTAATAAACTCAGTTTAACACTATAAACTGGTAGCAATTAGCTGAGATTACTGAAAACTAACTGAAATCACTACGTAAACTATAAAAGAGTCAACCCTCTGACACTGCGTCTAACAGTTGCAACCTAAAAAGTTTGCACATTAACAGTATCTTATATTAATTGATAGAATTATACAATAATATAACTTTTTGTCATTTAAGTTTTATCGTGTACTTTGCTTTGTTAAATTTTGTATTTACTCACTATTAATGTTTCGCACAGATTCAGATTGATCTGAATCCAATCTGAATCCGATGAATCAGATTCAGATTGGATCTGTCAGATTTGGATTCAGATCAGATCAGATCCATTATATTCAGATTCAAATTTAGATCTAATCCGTCAGATTCAGATTCAGATTCAGATCTGATCCGTCGGATTCAGATTCAGATTCAGATCTGATCCGTCAGATCTGAATTCAAATTTTTTAAAGCTGAAAAGTTCCTTTTCAATGAAAAGGGACGAATTTTCAGACTTCTTTA